CCCTCAGGCGTTCAGAGCTAGAAATAGAGGACGGGGAGAAAGTGAGAGAAAGCTGGCGCCTCTCAAGTTTTTTTAACCCCCGGACTGTACAGCGAAATAGAAAGTTTAAGAAGTTCTGGGCTTCTAGATCAGTCTTGCTAAAGAAACTCATGGAGTGCTGAAGTACTGAATGTTCCAGTTGTCTTGGGACAGTTGAAGCTTTTGCAATTGATTTAGAGACTTCCAAATGCAACCTGTATCTTCATGTTTGTTTTAATATGGCATAGTAATCTCTTTTGAGAGGCAGTTTGAAGTAGGGGATCCAGGCATTGGGGTAGAAACCAGGAGACTGAGTTCTAGTCCTGCCTTAGGCACAAAGTCAGCTGGGTGACTTTGGGCCACTCCCTCCTCTCAGCTTTGGGAGGAAGAAGGCAGTGGCAAACCACTTCTGAAGCTGCTGCCAAAGAAATTGCATGGATTTATCCATGTAGGCACCAGGAGTCCAGAATAACTTGAAGGTGCACATTCACACACAGATCTCTTTTAACAGGATTAATTGTTTAAAAGAGTACAAAGTTTTGAAGTCATCCCCCCCCCACCCCCATCCAACATTATACAGTGTGAATTGGCTTCCAGATTAGTCATGTTTTCTTGTTCTTGCTTAGATTAAAAGTTTGGCTATGTTATTAAATACTACTTTTGCAACTTTTCTTGGATTGCTTCTGCATCAGATAATAATTTCCTGTTTCCAGAGTGTAAAGATCAGGCCAGTAGCTCAGCTCAGAAACAGTGAGAAGACAGTGATTTTCCGTTGCCATTTCTTAGCAGTTATTATTCAATATATGCTGCCTGTGATCTCAAAGACAGTAAATAAGTGTGTTGAATGCCTATTTATATTAGCTGTAATTGTATTATTGACTTTAATTTTATTATGTTGGTCTTTTAAATTCAGAGTATTCTAGTATTTGTTCACTTCCATGAGAGGCAGTATAGAAAAATAAATAACTCAAGACGAATTGTCCTTAGTAGATTGATGCTGTATGAATTTTCCTAGACCCTTTTAAAAGACAACTTAATTGGTGGCCATCAGCATATCTGATGGTGTTACATCAATAAACCCATTCATAAGTATATTTATGTATTTTACAGAATATTATACAGCTCGCCAAATGATTCCATCCTGAATTTCCCATAGTTAATTTCTTTGGACATTGGGAGAAAGGGAGAAAAACTTCTTTCTGTCTGCATTTCTCATACCGTGATGATTTTATAAATCCTTATGTTTCTTCTTCTCTGGTTTTGCTGCAAGCTAAAAAGCCCCCAAAGGGGTAGGCTTTCCTTGTAGGGGACCCCAGGAGTCCCCCAGACCACACTTTGAGAACTGCTGCACTAGAATATCCTTTTTCAGATGTGGAGATCACAACGATAAACATGTGAAGTCATCATAGAGTCACATAAGGACATTCCTGTATTGCCTCTTTTATTCTCAGTTCCCTTCTGAATGATTCCCTTTCAGCAGCCATACACTGGGTTGATATTTTCTTTAAGCTACCCATTATAACTCCAAAATAGCTCTTCTAATCCACCAGTGTCTGCTTAGATCTTATTAATGTGTATCTAAACTTTAGATTTTTTTTTAAAATGTGAATGAGTATGACTTCACACTTGCTTCCATTTAATTCATTTGCTATTTTGATAATCAATTTGGACTGAACCTTTTGGAGCTCATTATAATCTGTTTTTGCTTTTAGTATAATTAACAACTTGCAAATATTAGTAAATTTGGCCAACTCACTGCTCCTCCAAGAGAATCTCTGTTTGCATATTTTTCAAACATGAATAGTATCCATTTATTCTCACTTTCCTATATTTTAGCCAGTTAACAATCCACAAGTATATGTGTCTTCTTATTCCATGTTACTCATTTTGGTAACTGTAATAGTTAAGTTGTTATATAACTGTATATTGGTTCTAAAAGTGACAACTAAACTGAAACAATATTGGGATGGAAGTACAGTAGGAGTATCTTTGCTACAATATTTAAAATCAGCTGCAAACCATTACAAATTTATTTGTGGAATGTTACATTAAGGCTAAGACTTCATGTTACTATACGCATGCATGCGAGCACATGTATAAATCTCAAAGTTGCAGTGGTCTTGTAAATCACTGAATATAACTCCTTGCTCAGTGTAGGGGGTGGTTGAAATTGGGGGCAGTGGGGCTGAAAACTCTCAAGAGCAAGAAGTAAAACTGTTTTTTCACTCATCCTTGTTCTTTCTCTTGGTTTCATTAGAGGTTACATCTAATCAACAAAAACCTATTGTTCTGTAGATTATATCTTTTCCCCTAGAGTAGCAGAGAACAGGCCTTTGCCACCTTCTGTTTCACAAAGTTTCAGGTGTTTGAAAAACGGATCTCTGTGCTTGGGCACAGCACAGCACAGACTAAGAATTTTGGAAATTGTAGTCGGAATACATTTAGAAACCATCATATCAACTCCACCCCTGCATAAATCAATGTGCAATTTGACATAAATTCCTGAAACCCCATTTTCACAACTTATTATCGTGTCTATTTTTCAGATGAACTCAATGTGTGGAATTAATATATGCTAACTCTAGTTCTGCTTTTGCCCACTAAAGCATCTCCTAAGCGTTTCTGATTTGTTTTACATAGATTTCTTTTTTGGGCACATTTATGTTCACAATCACTTATTCAGTCAAAATCTGTATTGGTAAAGGAATTAAAAAAGCTATTTAAAAAGCCGTGATGCCTGCAATGCTGAATGGACAAATGTGCAGAAAGCTATATTCTGTCAAAAATATAGTGATTTCATAGGACGGTCTTCCCTTTTGTTGGTGAGGGAACAGTGTAAAGGATTATCATCTTCCTGGTTTGTTGAAGACATTGCATCCAAGGGGTATGACCTAATGTTGGGCTGCTAACAATTTAAGATAAATCTTTAATTATCATGAAGGATATAGGATCTTGAGTTGCTAGAGTGCTAATTGATACTGCTTTCCTTCTGGGGATCCTTCAGTGAAACCAGTTTCACTAGCTAAATTTGGGAGTCAGCTGCAATCCTTCCTGGTTAAACTTTAGCCAGGATTATTTAGCAACTTTTGAAAAAATAATGTTAAGATGCATTTTGTAGGAGGCTAACTTTAAAGAACTGTTCCAAAAATTGCAGAGTACTATGGCTAGGATATTAACTGGAACTTGATTTTATCATACTGGTTCAGAAGCTGACCTATGTTTTTCTGAGCACAGTTGAAAGTTCTGGTTATTGCTGTAAAGCCCAGAGTGACTTCAGGTAGCGAGATTAGACCCGGATACCAGAAATGCCACCTTTTTTCTTGTGAACCTACTTATGAACATAGTGGTCTTCTCCAGGCACTTCTGATGTCAAACACAATGCAAATAACAGGTGTGGAGAACATTCTATGATGGAATTTAGAAACATTCCTACCCTGGGGAGTTTCACTGGGTTCCAGTTTGTGTATCTTTCCAATAAACTAAGCCATTGGACTTGCTGTTTCACCCAGGCCTTTAAAAAAATGTTAGGTGAGGTCTGATTCTTTTTCCTTATAAATATATATTGAAATATATTTGGGAAAAATATTTGGAAAAGTTATTTTATTGGACAGTGTTATTGTTACTGTTTATTAATTTTTTGTTGCTATCCAAACGCACTGTTGATCTTGCTGTTCGTCACCGAAGACAAATTCCT